GGAAAAAAAAAAAAAAAAAAAAAAAAAAAAAAAAAAAGCACCAAAAACTACCAAATTACCAATCAAACAATAAACCCCCCGCCCCATAATTTGGGGGGTCCCTGCATATTGCAGCACGGGGGTCCGTGTACAAATCATGAACGGGACGGGGCTGCTGCAGGATGCGTCTCGAGCTGTTTGTTTTTCAAGCGTCCTGAGCTGTTTCTGTTTCAGCATCACTCTCATTACACGGTTATGACAATGGGAAGATGCCAGCAGCTCCCGTCCCGGGCAGCAGGCACAGAACCCAGTGTTACAACTCACTTCGAAGGTTTTATTTTACCAATCACACAAATCAAAAGAATACAGACTATCTATTTATTTATAATATATATATTAATTTTTAATATATTTATATTTTTTATTATTTATTTATTATATATATAAATAAAATTTATTTATAATATATATCTATTGTAGTGGTTAGATTTATCTAACCACTACAAGCACACGTACCTTCGCTTAAAACAACGCTTGCTGATTTCTGTGGGGATTCATAGGATTAGAGGATTTTAGGAAAGCTGGGAAAAAGAAAAACCTCAGAGACAGTAAGGATAGTGAAATGCTAAAGCAGCAGAAAAGATATATCGGCAGTAGCGAAGACATGAGAAATAGAACAATAAAGCTGTGCAGTTTGGCTTTCCAAGTTGCAAAAAGGTATATTTTAGTAAATATTTAGAAGGTTAAATATGAATGGAGCTCTGTGCTTTGTCTTTTATAAACGAACCACTGTATGAGAGAAAAAGCTGCTATTATTTTAACCAAAGCTACGCCTGCTTCATGTGGTTGGATAGAACTACTGTCAATATACTTTTGCTCTATGGAATTGGCTGAAATTGGGTCTGAAACTGTCTTATAATATGTCACAACATTAAGTTTCCTCGGCTGGGACAGGAAGGTGCTGGTGGCCGTGCTCAGTGGCCTCAATCTGGTGGCCTTCGGCGTGGATTTGGGGCAGACGGGGAGGTTGGTGCTCTTGAGAAGAAATATGAGGGGGAAAGGGTGGGAAATATGAGGGGGAAAAGAGGGGGAAATGTGAGGAGAGAAAGGGTGGGAAATGTGAGGGGGAAAAGGGAAATGTGAGAGAGAAAAGGGAGGGAAATGTGAGGAGAGAAAGGGTGGGAAATGTGAGGGGAATAAAGGGAAATGTGAGGGAGAAAAGGGTGGAAAATGTGAGAGGAAAAAGGGAAAAGTGAGTGAGAAAAGAGCGAGAAATGTGAGGGGGAGAAAAGGGGGGAAACATGAGGGGAAAAAGACTTGGAAATGTGAGAGGAAAAAGAGTTGAAGAAATGTGAGGGGGAGAAAAGGGGGAAACATGAGGGGGAAAAGACTTGGAAACGTGAGGGGAAAAAGAGTTGGAAACGTGAGGGGAATAAAGGGAAATGTGAGGGAGAAAAGGGGGGAAACATGAGGGGAAAAAGACTTGGAAATGTGAGAGGAAAAAGAGTTGGAAACGTGAGGGGAAAAAAGGGGGAAAAAGATGAGGGGACATAAAAGGGGGAGAAATGTGAGGAGAGAAAAGGCAAGAACCACGAGTGGAAAAAAAAGCCAGGAAACACCCAGGGAAAAGAGAAGAAAACATGAAAAGTGGAAAAGGTAGGAAATGCGCTCCCCAATTCCTCAGGTGCCCCCTCCCCAAAATGAAGCGCAGACTCTGGGGGATTGCTCAGATTCTTTATTTTTGGGGGGCTCACGGGGCCTTCGTCACCCACACACTCTTCTTCCTCACCACCATGGGCTTGTGGCTCTGCAGGATGGCGCTGGCCTGGCGGTGGCAAAGATGGGGGTCAGCACCCCAAAATAAGGGGGAACCCCTTAAATGCGACCTCAAAATCCATCCCACCAATTAAACACCTCCCCGCTAATTAAAGACCTCCTAATTATCCTCCTGAGTTAAAGATCCTCCAAATACAGCCTCAAAGATTAGCAGTTAACTCCCTCAATTAAAGACCCCCCTAATTAAACATCTTCATTTAACCTCCTACAATTAAACCCCCCCAATTAAACCTCCCCCAATTAAACCCACCAATCAAACCCCTCAATTACAACACCCCAATTAAATCCAAGTAAAAACATATATAACCCTCCCAAGACCCCCCAATTAATCCTCCCAACCAAACCCCTCCCAATTAAAGACACCCCAATTAAACTTCCCAATCAAACCCCATAATTAAAGCAGCTCTAATTAATTACCCACCCCCAAATTAAGCCCCTCCCCTCACCGTTTTTTGTCACCATCACTGAGGCACTGTGGAAGGAGAGAAAAATGTTGAGGGGGCTTCAGTTCCCCCCCAGACCCACAATTCCCCCACCCCAATATCAGGAACCCCTCCCAAGGAGGGACCCCAAAATCACCCCAGGGCACCCCAAAAACACCCACAGCTGGGGATGTGTTCACAGCCCTATTGGGACACCCCAAAAACCCTTCCCTGGTTCTTCAGCCACACCACCTTGGGTTGGGGGGGCCACGCCTGGTCAGGGGAGTGCCCTAATGCACCCCAAAAACAGCCCAAGGGACCCCAAAATCAGCCCGGGGCACCCCAAAAACAGCCCAAGGGACCCTAAAAACAGCACAAGGGAACCTAAAAACACCCACAGCCCCACTGGGACACCCCAAAAACCCTTCCCTGGTTCTTCAGCCACACCACCTTGGGCTGGGGGGGCACGCCTGGTCAGGGGAGTGCCCCAATGCACCCCAAAAACAGCCCAAGGGACCCCAAAACCCACCCAGGGCACCCCAAAAATGCCCACAGCTGGGGATGCATCCATAGCTCCACTGGGACACCCCAAAACCCTGCCCACAGGTGAACCCCACACCTGGTTCTTCAGCCACACCCCCTTGGGCTGGGGGGGCACGCCTGGTCAGGGGAGGGCCCAAATGCACCCCAAAAACAGCCCAAGGGACCCTAAAAACAGCCCAAGGGAACCTAAAAACACCCACAGCCCCACTGGGTCACCCCAAAAACCTTCCCTGGTTCTTCAGCCACACCACCTTGGGCTGGGGGGGCACGCCTGGTCAGGGGAGGGCCCAAATGCACCCCAAAAACACCCAAAAGTACCCCAAAAACAGCCCAAGGTACCCCAAAAACAGCCCAGGACACCCAAAAAACACCCCAAAACCCACCCAGGACCCCCAAATTTCCACCCAACCCTCCTAATTTTGGGGTGAACAGAGTCAGGGGTACCCCAAAACCCACGTGGGACCCCCAAATCTACAACCAGGACCCCAAATCTCCACCCAACCCCCCCCGATTTTGGGGTGCCCACACACAGGGGTACCCCAAAACCCACTCAGGACCCTCAGGTCCCCCCATCTTCATCCCCACCCACCCAGCTTAGAGCAGAGGGATGAATTGGAGACCCCAAACCCACCCAGGACCCCCAAATCTCCACTCAGGACCCCAAATCTCCACCCAAACCTCCCCGATTTTGGGGTGCCCATACACAGGGGTACCCCAAGACCCCCTCAGGGACCTCCAGGGCCCCCCATCTTCATCCCCACCCATCCAATTGTGAGCAGAGGGTTGAGTTGGGGACCCCAAACCCACCCGGGACCCCCAAATCTCCACTCAGGACTCCAAATCTCCACCAAAAACACCCCCAATTTTGGGGTGCCCATACACAAG